TAAGAAAGAAATTCAAGAGACTTTGCAAATCACACTAAGACCTGAGGTCATATTCCTGTGGAGTTTTTAGGTGCGTAAGTTCAAAGAAATGTTTCAAAACCACTTTTTCCATTACTGAGTGTGATAAGCCATTTTTGTGTGTCTTAGCATTAAAATATGCAAACAGCTTTCTTTTGGGGTGGGGGGAATATGAATCTTTTGTTCTGGCTGAACTTGACATTTTCTTCTGCATCTTCCATAAAACTTTTATTGGTATAAATGATTCAGTGTGTGTCTGCTCAACTGTGGGTGGAGGAACACTGTAGCTACCTGTACAACATGTTTGTAATTGTTAACAGTGAAGTTGATATTTACTCTTACAATAAGTGAATCATTAAAAAAAATCAACTGCCTTGCTTTTCTCTGTAAAGTTGCCATTTACTTTTATAAAGTTTTTGTTTAAAAACCTGATGAGTGATCTTCACAACAATCTTACGTAGGCTCATTAGTAGATTAACTGCTAGCTACAAATATGTCAAAATACTGCTTTTCAAAGACTGCTCCTTCATATAGTTCACGTTTTGAATTTTTGCTGAGGTAGTATTTCCTGCGGTCATGGACCACTGAATAAACTATTCAGAAAATAGGTGAATTACCCAATTAAGCACTCTACCCCCTCAGTTTTTGTCTTTAACAGCATAGGCGTTCACACTTTTTTTTTATTTGAGCAAAGAAGACAATGATTGTGGTTAAGTTCATGTATTTCTTTCCCACCAGCTTCATCTTTTGGTTTTTAAAATTAAATGATGAATCAAAATATATTGCAAAATTAAGAATGCTACTGTGTACTATTTGGATCATTTTATGCACCCTGTGCAATAACAACAAAGAGTCTTCTCACAAACAGGGCTGGTCAAAAATGTTCCTCGGTGGAACATAGCAGATTTGAGGCAAGTAGGTCTTCAACTCTAATCTCTTTCCAATGAACCAGTGTTTAACTACTGATCCATTATCATGATTGAGCTGACTGTCAACGCACTTGGGCATCGGCACGGATTGAGTGCTGTGGCCCATTAATATCAGGAGGCTATGGTAGACCATCTAATGGACTTCCATGAGCCACACTTTGACAATTACTACATTAAGGTAAAAGTAAAGTCTCCTTTCATTGAATTCAGTTCCTGATCACTGCATGGATATGTCCATATAGTTTTCTTGACAGCATTTTCTTGACAGGTGATTTGACATTGTCACCTTCTGGGACATTTTTTAGATTTCTCTGTTCAAGTTTAGTTTCTTAGGATTTGTTAGTGGTCTCTTTTCCAAGTACTAATCAGGTCCAGCTTTTCCAAGATCAGCCAGAGTGGCTTGATGCTGCCATCAGGTGTGGCTTATTTTTCACTGGAACTTACGAACATAACAGTGAGAACACTGATGATTCAAAAACGGATAAAAGCTGGGAAAGGTAAGAGCATTGGAAAAACCTGGTGATCATTTGTCTGCAGAAGCAAGCAAACATTCAGTGTTAGGACTGCATTCTGAGTTTTAAATGTTTTCTCTTTGAGGATTACACAAGTCATGGTTACAATGTAGTGACATTAAAATTTCAATCCATTTGGGTAGAAGTATTACTGTTTTGGAGAATAATTGCTGGTTTTAAAATACTTTTTTGTTCCTTGTTTTGCATCAGTAATGCAATAAAAATAAAAATAAAAATCAGGCATTATGGTATTGGACATGCTATGGCATAGAGCACGGGTGTCAAATTCGCCATATCACGTGACGTGTCGTGATGTGTCGCAACTCTTTTTGCATTGTCGGCAGTGGGTGGGCGCGGCTTCGGTATGATGAAACTGGCCCGCGGGCTGGCAGTTTGACACCCCTGGCACAGAGTTTCTCAACCTTGGCACATTGGAGATATGTGGGCTTCAATATCCAGAATTCCCCGGCCAGCCTAACTGGCCGGGGAATTCTGGGAGTTGAAGTCCTGACATCTTCAAGTTGCCAAGGTTGAGAAACACTGTTATAGCAGCCAGGGAGCTACCTGTGAATCATGGGTTGTCAGTGCTTCGCCTGGTAGAATAGGAGACAGTGGAATCTCAGTTTGCTTCAGTATAAGCAAGGATATAAGCAATACTTCCAGGGCTGAAGGCAACACACTCAGTTGCCAAAATAATAGTGCTGTGTTTTGCAAGCTGAATGAGACTAAACAACAAATTCACATAGTCTACATCTCAACTGACCTACTTTGCTTTCTCCCAGTTTCACCTTTCTCACAAAAAGAATACAACTGAGAATGAGAAAAGGAACCTGCGTCTAGATAAGATCTTATGAGAAAGACCCGGATAAACACAAAATTATAATTATCTTTGGGAGGGTCTGTTGTGTTTAGCGTTACATAGCACACATTCTTGTATTATGTGTTTGCTACTACTAGTTATTACAGTTCTGGTATCAGTAAGAAAATACTGCTGCACAAAGTATTGCATTTAAGGTGAAAAACATCTTATTTGCCTTTCCTAGGTCTTAAGGTGCCCTCCGTGAGTTTTTTCCCCACTAAAAATATTTTATTCCTCTAATAGCTTACAAACCAGGGAAAGATGCCTATCCAGTCATTATTGCAACTTCATTGATTGTGAATGTTAATGTAAAGAAGAGATTTTATTACCACAGCATTTCTGCTAAGAATGGCACATGTTCATTGTACATTCAGGCAGTCCTCAACTTATCACAACAGTTGGGACCAGAATTTCCATTGCCCAATGAGACAATTGTTGAGTGAGTTGCACCCAGTTTTATGACCGTTTTTTGCCATGGTTGTTAAGCAAACCACTGCAGTTGACCCTGGAATGCTGCAGCCATAATAAATGCATGTCGGTTGACAAGCATCTGAATTTTGATCACATGACCGTGGGGATGCTGCAACCGTTGTAAGTGTGAGGACTGGTTGTAAGTCACTTTTTTCAGTGCAGTTTTAACTTCGAACAGTCACTAAACTAATGGTTGTAAGTTGAGTACCATCTGTATAATGCTCTTTCAGCTCTTACAATGTCATCAAGCTGAAGATGTTAGCCTATTTACAGTTTCACACATCAATCCTTTCCTACGAGCATTTCCCCCTGCGGTAACCACTGATATTTGTTTCTCTCAGTTTGAGGAGATTCTTCAGCCTTGTCCTGATAATGAAAATATTAATTTTGCCACACGGGGGAGCCTTCAAAGAAAAACTAACTTGGTGAAATTATGGCAGAGTCTTATTATGAGTTTCTTATCATATATATTGTGTTTTCCCCAAAATAAGACCCAACTGGAAAATAAGTCCCAGCATGACTTTTCAGAACACTCATAATATAAGCCCCACCCCAAAAATAAGCCCCAGTTAAGATCGTCAGCCAGATGGATGCATTTAGTACCATATTACCTCGAAAATAAGTCCTAACCAAAAAATAAGCCTTAATGTATCTTTTGGAGCAAAAATTAATACAAGACCCGGGCTTATTTTCAGGGAAACATGGGTGACATAACAAAGCATTATGGTTTCCAGGATCTGTGATGTGGTTACATGTCTCTCTCTCCTTGCAGAGATAGAAAGTACACTATCTCTCTCCCTTCGGAAGTGCTTCGCACAGTATTGTTACATATGTATACCAAATAATCGAAATAAATAATAGATTCTCTCCATTCCTAACTATCTTCCTAAGTTCAGTGGTCAGGGGAAGCTTGAGTGAGTTTGGATTTTTTTCCACTTAGTATCTGGATTTAAGTCCATTCAAGGTTAGAAAATGGTGATGTCATCTATACAAGGATTTTCCCATTTATTTCGGCAGACTGAAATAACCACAATGATTGTTCATGTACTCATGTATTGCAAAATTAAGAATGCTACTATGTACTATTTGGATTGTTTTATGCACCTATGCAATAACAACAAAGATATGGTTTCCTAAAACTGATAATATTTAGCAGTTGTTGCTGCTACTTCCGCAACCTGATCTTAACAGAAGCAATCGATGGCATGCTCCAGAATTCCCAGCTGGAGGGGACTATCCAGGCTAATGGGAAATTCTACAATCCCAGTAAATCTGGAAATGGTCAAATTGGTAAAGACTATCATAGTTGTTCTCCTGAGCACGTAGCTACTTGAAAAGCAATACTACAGTTAGTTCTCAGCTTACAACCACAATTGAGCCAAAACTTTCTGTTGCTTTCTGTTAAGTGAGTTATTCCTCATTTTATGACCTTTTGCCACAGCTGTTAAGCAGATCACTACAGTTGTTAAGTGAATCATGTGGTTGTTAAGGGAATCTGGCTTCACCCATTGACTTTGCTTGTCAGAAACTGACAGAGAAGATTACAAATGGTGATCACAGGACCCCAGGACATATGCCAGTTGCAGCGCATCCAAATTTTGATCATGTGACCATGAGGATGCAGCAATGCTCATAAGTGTGAAAACCATCATAGTCACTTTTTTCAGTGTTGTTGTAACTTCACTGAACAAATGGGTGCAAGTCAAGGGCTACCTGTAGATCCAAACACTGGGAAATCAAAATGGTGGGTCGATTCCAGTAAAACAGCCTTGTCCTTATATAGGAGGCTTGCCAGGAGAAATGCTGACCTGGAAAGCAATTCACCCATCTTTGATTCACCAACCTTGTCTTTGTCCTAGGACAAGGGTCTCCAAAGGTGGCAATTTTAAGACCTGTGGACTTCAACTCCCAGAATTCCTCAGCCAGCCATGGAGAGTTAGAGTCCACAAGTCTTAAAAGTTGCCAAATTTGGAGATCCCTGTCCTAAGATAATTCACACATTGCTTTAAACTATACAGGCTTAGAGATTGGATAAAGATGTGTATTTCTACCCTCCAAGCCAGGGGTCTCCAACTTTTAAGATTTGTGGACTTCAACTCCCAGAATTCCCCAGCCAGCCTTGCTGCAAGCTCATCCCATGAAGGCCTCTTGCTTTTCTTGCCAGTGGTGTCATTCCATTCAGATTTTTCTCTCTTTCTGATTTCTTTGCAGGAACCCCACAAGATATCCCAGGTGACATAGGTGAAATGAATGCCAAACGATGTCGGACCGAAGAAACCCATGTCTGTGAGAAATGCTGTGCTGAGTTCTTTGACCTCATTGAACTCCTCGAGCATAAGAAAAATTGCACTAAAACACCACCTGTCCTCATCATGAATGACAGTGAAGGGGCAGTGCCCTTGGAAGCCTTCCCTGACAGCTCTATGGAGACTTTTCCAACCAGCCAAATGGATGGTAGGCTGGCTGAGGAGAGTCACGTAAAGAGCTGCCCAGCTTCAGCAGAAAAGAGAGAAGAGAAAGCTGGATCCGAACCTTCAGGAATGACATATCTAAAAACAGAGCCCTCTGTTGCCTCCACAACTCAAGGGCTAAGCTTTGTCCCCAAACCCAAAGTACCAAACACTAATGTGACTTTGCAAACTATACATGGCACTAAAGTGGCTGTCAACCAGTGTACCTCAGAGTCTCTGTCTCCCTCCGTGGCTGGCCTCAGTGCCATCCCAATGATCCTGGAGCAGTTGATGTGCCTACAGCAGCAGCAACTCCAGCAACTCCAGCTGACGGAGCAGATCCGCATCCAAATTGCCATGATGGCCCCCCATATCCTACATCCCTCAGTTGCTGCTGCAGAACCCCTCAAAGCTTTGGGGGCTCATATGTCCCAGCAGCTGTCAGCTGCTGTTGCTTTAATTGGACAGAAAGCTGGGAATCCAAGCCTATCCTTGGAATCCTTGAAGCAAGGCAAACTACCTCATCCTAATATTGGTATTCCGACAACCGTCTCGGTGGCCGGTGGGCTTGCTCCTGCCCTCTCTTTGAAGCCCGATGTAAGTCGAAGCTTGCCAGGTTCTATGTCTCGCTTCCTGAGCCCTTTGCTACCTCAATCTTCCAGCTCGGCCATCTTCCAGAATCCCCTTACCATTGTCTCCCCAGCCATCGACCCCTCAAAGAAGGGGAAAGGGAAAGTAGCAAATGTGAGTGTCTCTGAAAGTAAACCAAGCCAGGAGGAGTCCTTCTTCAAACACAAGTGCAAGTTTTGCGGCAAAATCTTTGGCAACGACAGCGCTCTGCAAATTCACCTCCGTTCTCACACTGGGGAGAGGCCCTACAAGTGCAACATTTGTGGCAATCGTTTCACCACCAAAGGCAACCTGAAAGTGCATTTCCAGCGGCATAAAGAGAAGTACCCTCACATCAAAATGAATCCGTACCCTGTGCCTGAACACCTAGATAATGTGCCCACCAGCACTGGCATACCTTACGGGATGTCTGTCCCACTAGATGAATCTAATCTTATTGTGGATTCCAAGCCTATTCTGACCACCCTGCCTGGCTCCGTAGGCTCTGCCTTGCCACCAAACACTTCCAACCCCACAAGTAGCAAGGATCCTTTTACCAGCACACTTCTAAGTGATGTCCAGCCAGAAAGTGAAGGAGATTCTTCATCAGGTTCGGCCAGTCATGAATCAGGAGCTGAGCTGAACCAGAGCTCTCCGCAGGCTGGCTGCAGTGGGAGTGCTTTCCACGGATGCCGGGTTGGTGAGCAAGGCTCTGAAACAACAAAGCTCCAGCAGTTGGTGGAGAACATTGACAAAGCCACCACTGACCCCAATGAGTGCTTGATCTGCCATAGAGTTCTCAGTTGCCAGAGCTCCCTCAAAATGCATTACCGCACTCACACGGGCGAGAGGCCCTTCAAGTGCAAGTTTTGTGGCCGTGCTTTTTCCACCAAAGGCAACCTCAAAACACACTATGGTGTGCACCGAGCAAATACTCCCCTGAAGATGCAGCACTCCTGTCCTATCTGCCAAAAGAAATTTACAAATGCAGTGGTGCTGCAGCAACACATTCGTATGCATATGGGAGGGCAGATCCCCAATACCCCAGTGGTAGAAACCCTCCATGATAATAACGACATGGAGGCTACTTCAGCTGAGAACAATGGAGATCCCTGTTGCTTAGAGAGCAATGAAAGCATGGAAATGGATGGAGACTTGGAATCACCAAACGGCCCAAACCATTCTTCTAAATCTTGCAATGCTCAAGCTGATCCATCAACATCTGTTCGTTCCAGTATTTCAGCTCTAGAAAACCAGATGAAAATGGTGAATTCGGCTTTGACTTTGCAGCGGCAAAGTAGTTTGAAATCGAGTGATAATGGTTCTGCAGAGAGTGACGGCATGACCAATGATTCTTCCTCAGTGGCAGGTGATCTGGACTATCAGAATGGTAGCCGTAGCCCCATCACCTCTGAATCAGCTTCCTTCCTGGCTATGTCTCCAACGAACAGTCAAGCAGAGAGCACCAGATCAAAATCACCATGTTTTGGTATCCAAGAAGACGGAATAGTGGGAAGCAAGGTTGAAGGTTCTGAGGTCACGCCTACAGAAAGAGAACGGGCTTTGGATCTAACATATGGCAACATTGGTCGAAAAGTGATTAAAGAGGAACCTGGGTTATACTTCACAAATGGAGAATATGGTGAGTCACTTTAATGGAAAGCAAAAAACCTAGCGGTTATTGTGAAATTGATTCACTTTTTAATACATGGATAGTGTTAAATGTTTGTAGTCTATGTTAGGACAGCCAACCTCCCAGATTAGAAAGTTTTAGTTCTAGCTATCACTATAGAGCTGGAAGGGACCTTGGAGGTCTTCCAGTCCAGCCCTCTGCTCAAGCAGGAGACCCTATACCATTTCAGACAAGTGACTGTCCAGTCTCTTCTTAAAAACCTCTAGTGATGAAGCAATCACGATTTCTGGAGGCAAGTTGTTCCACTGGTTAATTGTCCTCACTGTTAAGAAGTTTCTCCTTAATTCCAGGTTGCTTCCATTCTTGTTCATAAATCTGAGTTCTGTTCACCACCCCATCTGCCATATTTTTTTCTCTAGTATCTAGTACTTGAGGAATATTGACTGTGAAAAATGGCACCTACCTATCTGATCAAAATCAATTGTTCTTGAAACCTAAGAAAAACTCCATAGCTCTCATCAAAGAGGTGAGATCGTAATCAGTAGCTATCTTGTTTGCATGGCTGTATTGTTCCCTTCCTTCTCATGTTCTCTGCCATGATTTTCAAGGGCAGCAATATTAAATCTGAAGTCAGTCTAGCTAGACAAAGTATAATACAGAATTCACTTTATGAAAGGCAAGTAAATGTGAATTAATTTCCTAGACAAGAAAACTATTTCCAGTTTTCTTTTACATCTTATTACTTAAAATCACTTAAAATTAAACCCATGGCTTTGGAACAAGTGGGAAAGTACTGCTGCTCAACTTGATACGTCGCTGTTTTGAATTATTAACTCCAATTTTTCCTGATGGGATGGGAGCTGTGATCACATTATCCAAACAACATCCTGTTGAAGGCTGAGGTCGTACTAAATGATACAGAGTTATAAATCAAAGTAGGAATCTTGTCTTTTTTCTGAAGGAGAATCTTTTATGCATCACCAAAAGAGGAAATGCATCCACCCCAAAAGAGCAAAAGCAGACTCTGAAATGTATGGGCTGTAATTTATTCACCATGTTCTAATGTTTAATACCAAGTTGAGGGAGATGTTGATCTGTTCACCAGTTGCATCTGGCATTTGGCTGCTAAATACTTATGGCTAATTGCTGTTCTCTCTTTAACTAGACTTACCTGGCAGGCAGCCCTTCAAATAAAGAATAACAGCCTTGCTAACAGAAAATTGTTCTCTGTAAAATAGGATATATAGCTATTCTTCTTTCCTCTAACCTATACAGTTTGTTTGGTAGCTAATACTCATACCTGGAAAATCTATGTTCTTCAGTGTAAACAGTGACTGGGTTCATATAGCATATTAAGCCATGATGAGGTTTGTTTGATTTTGATTTAGACCAATGTGTGAACTTAACAATTATGGATTGTTGATAAGTCAATAGTATCTATTCAACTAACTATAATCAAGCAAACTATGATTTAGCATGATGTGTGAACTAGATTGTGTTAAGATTTGATTCAAAGTTTGAATTTCCATTAGAACCGATTTTTCTGAGTAAGTTCATTGATTCATATCAAATGGTCAGATTCAATTAGGTGCTTCTAACTAAGTTCAATTAGTTTTAAAACCTGTTCAGAAAATGAATTTGTAGTGAAGTTTTGAATCCATTTGATTTTTTAATTTGAACTGAATCTTGGTGCACCCAACCGGACCCTCTAGTGTGAACCCAGTAATTGCCTGTTGAAAATAAGAGGTGAATGGACTTTTGAGTGGGTCCACTTATTTAAAAAAAATGACACATAAATACAAATTATTAGCTCATTTACTTTCTCCTACCCCACCCCCTTCCCATCTTTCTCCAGCTTTTCTCGAACAGCTGGAATGGTTCATGAGAATTCCAGCCAGGGAAAAAATATCTGGCCAAAATTATAGTTGTAAAATTGAGCAGATTTTGTTTGCCATCTATTATGCTGAGGTGATGGAACTTCATGGCTGGCTGGCACAGCCTCCCTAATCCTACCCATAACTGAGTTAAGACCCTGAAAGAAAGTGACTTATGACTTATTCCTTGCACTTTTGATGGTTGCAGCATCTGATCAAATTCTGAGCATTTGGCAAAACTGGCATATATTTACCACAGTGGCAGCATCCCTGGATCTCGTGATTGCCCTTTGCAACTTTCCCAGTCGGGCTTCCGACAAGCAAAGTCAATGGGGGAAGCTAGATTCACTTAACCATGTGACTTTCTTACCAACTGCAGCAAAATTGGGCATGACTCGATTAACGGCCACATTGCTTAGCGATGGAAATTCTGGTTCCAATTATGGTTGTACATCAAGGATTATCTAGATACACCCCAAGTCTTCACCCCACAAATTCCTAATTATTTTCATCTCCATCAGCTCTTTTCTATTCTCAATATGACTTGTTCATATTCACTCCATTGTTTGTTTTCAATAATAAAATTGGGCGTGGAGGATTTTTATGACACTCGTAGTGTAAGCAACGCATCGACACACCCTTATCTTTTTTTGTTCTTCAGGCCGGAGCAGCATCCACCCATCATTTATCAGAGCACCACCGGCCCTCATAAAAATGGAGATGTCCAGCGATCGCCCCATTAGCACCAGCCATTTTATTACCCCTCCTGCATTGTCACCCAGCGTGCCTCCTCTTCTGGTGCCACCCCATCGCCGTACTGCTAAGCAGCATATCTGCATTACCTGTGGCAAGAACTTCTCTTCAGCAAGTGCTCTTCAGATCCACGAGCGGACTCACACAGGGGAAAAGCCATTTGCATGCACCATCTGTGGAAGAGCTTTTACCACAAAGGGGAATCTCAAGGTGAGCAATTTGAAGGCAATGATATGTATGTCCAGCTCCTTGTTCACTAGGGGCCTTAGCATTTAGAGCAAGAAGGCTTGGTTGTTGTAGATATTACAGGATGATATCCCATATTCATGAGATGTTCTCATCTCTTGTGATGGACTCATGCCAGTGCCTCCTTTCTCTTTAATTGCATACCCGCAATTAAAGGACATATGGGAGAGTTACAGGTTAGGGACAGGCAACATTTTTTCTGCGGAGGTTACGTGTTACATGTCCTTGGATAATGGATAAGACGTATGTGATAGTAGGGCTACAAGCTACCAAGACAGAGGCAGAAGTGGGTGGGGATACTCCTTTTCTCTCTCTTTCAATTGGGTAAGAGATATTTAGCTATCTCCAGAGATCTGAATTGCAGAGGGACCTTCAAACCAGCCTCGGGGCCATTAGTTGCTTACCAGATACACTTCTCTCCAGAACAAAACTCTGGAATGGTAGAAATTGAGAGAGGGAGTTTTTCTCAAGATGTCGTGGTAGCCATTGTTCCTGAGCAGGGATTTGAATCTTGCATTTCCATTCAAACTTCTAGTTCTTCCAGTTTTTGCCCAGATTCATACCCACAGAAGTATAATTTTGACAATCTTTTCCCTAAGGTCCATGTTGGAACCCACATGTGGAACAATTCTGCCAGACGCGGAAGAAGACTGTCCATTGATAACCCCATGGCTTTGCTTGGCAATGATTCAAAGAAGGTATCAGAAATGTTCCCTAAAGATGCAGTGACGCCTTCAGTGAGCCTTGATCCATCAGCATGGAACCAGTATGCTGCAGTGCTCAGTAATGGCTTAGCCATGAAAACCAATGAGATTTCTGTGATCCAAAGTGGAGGCATTCGTTCTCTTCCAACCACCATTGGGGGAAGTCCAGCGATCAATGTAGCAATGAATTCTGCCACCGTTTCCAAGATGGATAGTTCCCAGGCTGTGATTGGTTCAGAGATGGAGAAAACGAGCAGCATGGCTGAAGACAATGTGCCAAAGCATCAATTCCCTCACTTCATAGAGGAGAACAAAATTGCTGTTAATTGAAAACCAGAAAGCTTGAAAGGTGGCAGGATGGATTTTTAAAAATCACTATCGGAGTATATATATCTATATATTTTTAAGAGATGACACCGCAAGTATCCTTATTTTCTTATTGACGTGCAAAGATTCTAAGGCTGTCTTTGGAAGAGTTGCCCAGAGTACAATCATGACCATGTTTTGCTCAAAACAAAAGTGAAGCCAGTTTAGGATCCTTCTTTTTCTATGCGGGTCTTACAAGATACTTCTTACATGGGAAACATAAACCTGCAAAACCTTCGATGTTTTACAATGTGAAATTCCAAAGGTTGTAACATTTACCTCTTCTTTTTGTTTGCTTATTTGTATTTTGTTGAGATGGCTTACGTAGAAACCATTTGGGGGATTTGAGCAGAATAGAAGCAAATCCCTTGATATTTGGAACGACAAGGGGAAATGGCACTCATGGAATTCGTGACTGATAACGTGGAAAGTAATTATGCGGGTAAATATCCTAGAATGCCATCCTTTGGAGGGGTTCCCTTTTTCGTTTGTTTGTTTGTGAGTTTTTCCATTTGATCCGGTTTTGAATGTAGTAGTGTTATGATGCCTGTTGGATGTGAGAATCTGACATACACAGAAGAACGTTGTTTAAAAACCAGAACTGAATGTTTAAACAGGCACATTCTGTTGTCCATTGTACACCTTAAATGCTCTGTATTGATTACTGCTGCTTATTTAAAGACTACATCATTGTACATGCACCACCTACAGTGCCAAAAAGCTGACTCTTCGTGGCTGTGTGTTGCTTTCCTCCTACCCATCCCAACATGCAGACAGAGGCATACTGTTGAAGGGAAATCAAATCCTAGCAAGGCTGAGTTTTTGCTATTTCTGCAGTTTCTCTTCAGAATCTCAGGTGATGACATTTGGAAGCGGATCCCTTAGTGAATGGAATCCTTCCCCACGTTTGTTCTGTCTCAGCCACTGTTCCTCACCTCCCCTTTATGGAAGGGAGTCTGCCTAAATCTGTATTTAAAATGAAGTAGGTGTTTCATCTGTCTTTGTGTATGCGAGACGACATTTCCACTTTAGCAATTCAGGGCTGCAATCCAGCAAGACGTATGTATACCTGTGTGAGTTTTGACTTCTCATACAGCAAGACTGAATCATTTCTATCTTTCCAGAGAAGGGGACTTTGGGACAACCCTACATTTCCTTTGGACTTTTATCTATTTGTAGTTCTTAGGGGAGAAAGCCTGGAATAAAATCACAATGTGGCATTTGTACTGTATGAAGGTTACTGGAATGGTCTTCTGGATTCTAAGTTATCTACCTCATTATTATTTGTATTATTAATTTGTTTATGGTAGTGTTAAGTTCTATTTTTCTAGACAATAACCACTGTGTCGAACTTGAGATCCAAACAAACTACTGTGCACTATTTCAAGCCAAAATAAGATATGCTTGTAGGGATATTTGAAGATGTTTAGAAGTGTGTGTGTCATGGAGTGGAGGGAAGTTGTGTTTAGTTCACCCACCTCCATTCTCTTTTCATCAGCAGGATCTGCCTGTGTGTTAGCTGCATTGGAAAACTGAACAAAGATTTGGTATTAACAGGACTTGAATGAAAATGTGTCTTTTTCCAACTTCAAAGTCCAGCTTCGCTCATGCAGAAGGTCTATGAAACAATTTGGATGTAGTAATAATAGTTTTTTAAAACAAAAGCAAAAGCAAAAACCAATGTGGTTGCACCTGAACTATTGTATCTGTGTATGTCTCCAGTTATATTTTTTTTTATTATTATAATTTGTTTAGGATCAGTTTTTGCCAAGTTGTGCCTTTCCATCTGGACTTTGTAAAGTAAGAACACAAACTGTTTACACTGTAAAATGGATCTTGTTACGTGGAACATGCCAAAGGTGCATCCTGAGAATAATCTCTCTTTCTGCATTGTGAATGTTTGGACAATTTAAGCAATTCTGCATAGGATTATATTTTGTTTGTTTATTTGGACTATCTACTGATGCATTTTTGTTGATATGAGAATAAATCTGTGATAATTTTTTCACATGATGCATCCAAACCTTCATTTTTGGTACATGACCATATCCAGTTCACTAGAGAAACTTCTATTGCTGGGCTATATGCATTTAAAAAAAAAAAATAATAATCTTAAAATCTACATGCTGCCGTTCTCATTTTTTTTGCTTTATGTGGTTTACAAATATTTATACCCAATATAAATATAATCAAAACTCAAAACATGTAAAAGGCATTACAAATGTTCTAAGCCTCCTAAAGTGTATCAAGGATAGGGCAGGCTCAAATCCACAACCTGGGTCCCAGCATGAAAAGACACAATTAGCTGTTGATGTTAAATGAATCTCTGACAGGAACTGCAAAAATAATTCAATAATGTCTGTAACATGGGAGGGACTTTCCAGGCATAGAGAGTCTTGGAAAAGAGTTTGATCCCAAGCTATTAAAGCTTGATCCATCATAATGAGGGCCTTGAGTTTTGTTCAAAAGTTTCAGCAGAGGAATGATGACAAACATGCATGACTATATTGTTATGCAAATGCTACAATTTATATACTTGGGACACAAGTATGGGAAGGTGATATTTGGGTGATGATGTGATTGTGCACACATCATCAAGCTTTGTGATATGATGCTGCTGCAAAGCATTTCAAAGGGTGATGTGGGACCCTATTTACCACTACAGCCTGCCCGTTCTAGTTCAGGTTGTCAACAAGACCACCCTATAAAGAAGGGTTGAGATAACCAGCTTGTGTCACACTGATGCCAATCAGCCAACCTTGATAAAAGCCACTATTAACACACCACTGTCATCAGGTTGTCCAGCATCAGTGCTGGATTTAAGAGTTTGGCTCCCAAACTACAGATCAGATATTTCTACAAAACCATGAACCCAAGCCCTGGAACCAGCTATAGTTCTCTCTTAAAGAAATTCAACTTCAGATTGTTCTCTCACCTTCAGTTTTTCTAATCCAAAAATACAAATTTCCATTTTAAATGAACGAAGGAATTCCTTTTCCCCAGACTTATTCTTGTCTGCCAAAACCAAGCTTTAAAAAGCCTCCCAGTCCCATTTGTAGGATGTTTTTGGAAAAAGTCAGTGAAAATTACCTTGGAGAAACTTGGCATAGTCTTTAATAAAATGTAAATAAACTTCTGTGCCTTTGATGAATAGAGGACAAGCTATTACCAAGTGATTGGATATAATTGACAGTATGTGGAACAAATAGAATAAACTCTAGCACTGACCAGAAATGAATATCCTAAAGAACTCCTTTTTCCTGTGGCAGCTGGAAGCAGAAACTTTCAACCTTGCTTTTTAGGGGATATTTGGCTTGAATGCTTACTATACCAAAACAAAGTGTTACTATGCTTTACCCAAGTCTAGAGGAGAACTTTCTGTCCCCAACCATCTCCCACAACATCTGTTGGGGTGAATGTGTCCTTCCAAACTCCTGCTAGTCTTGGGGGTATTTTCCCGAGTCCATATAACACACTAATGTATCATTATCAAGATGCCCTACAGCCTTTTCACAAAAGCCCCAGTGACCATGTAAGCTGCGTTGTAGTTTGTTTGCAAATGTTGAGAGTTTTATGAAGGGTTTTATTAAATGGTATGTTTAAAGGATATCTACGACCACCTTGTACTGGAAAGGGGAGAGATGAGGAAAAATAACAAAGCCATCCCAGCATATCAGAGCACAGGTGCTTACAGCTTATTACAGTCTACAAGTGATTAATTAAGCAATTATTTGCAGTACACTTGCCTGCGTTTGGATACAGAGATAAGATAACGGTGCCATGTGTCGATTTTAAGCATGCGTGACACTGTTGTACTGCTAATAATTCCAGTTTGGATACCCAAAATTGTACTTGTATTTCAGTTTAATGCACATTCTGTCCAACAGTTGAATACTTTTCTTTTCATAAAAGTGGGCAAACAGCTGGCTCTTACATTTCTTCGTAGCTGCTCTATTTTAGGAGATGGGCAAAATAGGACTCGGTTTGTGGATGAAGGACATGTACTTTGTTTCTCAGAAATGACAGAATTGCAAGCAGTTTGTGAATTAGTCTGCTCTGGAGTGGAGGATTGACTGAGTTTTTAGTAGTAAGGAAGAGGAGGGCCAACCAAATCCTTTGGAATGTACAAGAGTGCACGTAAAATATCACTTGTCAGCTCATTAGGATAGCCATGCCTTTTTTTCCATGGCTTTCAGGCTTAGAATGCAATTTTGGGAGTTACAGAAAGTCCTCAACTTACAACCATTTGTTTAGTGACCAAAGTTACAAAGTGACTTATGACCATTTTTCACACTTATAACCATTGCAGCATTCCCAAAGTCACATGATCAAAACTTGGGACACTTGGCAACTGGCATGTATTTATGACGGTTGCAGTGTCCCAGGGTTATGTGATCCCCTTTTGCGACCTTCTGACAAGGAGAGTCAATGGGGAAGCCAGATTCACTTAACAACTGTGTTACTAACTTAGCCACTGCAGGGATTCCTTTTGTAACTGTGGCAAGAAAGATCGTAAAATGGGGCAAAACTCACTTAACAACTATCTTGCTTAGCAACAGAATTTTTGAGCTCAGTTGTGGTTGTAAGTCGAGAAGTACCGGTACTCCTATTTGTCTCTTGGGGAAAAAGAAAAAAGTACAGGCATACCAAAATGACTAGACTAGAGCACTGAAGGAGAACGTCAGCCTGGAAAAGGTGTCGCTGCTTTAACAATCCAAAAAGAAGTACTTCCACATGCTCCAAGGGATCCCTTTTGAATAATTACCTAATGAATACTAGATAACCCGTGCCTCATTGAATCATTGTTTCAGAGTTATTTCCTTACCTAAAAAGAGAAACAGAATGACCAAGGGCAGGAACAAAAAGCAGTAGGAGCAAGAGCGATTTCTAACTTCCTGCCAACTTTCGCACGGAGTTTCCTTGTGGGAATCTGGCAGGCAGCATCAGAAATCTTCCATTCCCTGTGTGCTGTCATCCACACAGCAGAAGGTAAATGGCTACTGCTGTGTGGGTGAAGAGGGCATGACGGATTTTGAGGCTGAATGTTGTAAATGAAGATCACATGACCACAGCAGCAATGCAGCAGCCAGTAGCACTGGAGCAGCCACAACGTTGCCAAATTTCATTCTCTTGGGAGCCGTGGGTCCTGGATTTTGGACACATTGGTTCAAAAATTGTTGCCCTATGATGGCCCATTTTGTCCAGTTAAAGGTCATGACAATGAGATGTTCATGTACAAGCAGTAAATGGTGCATGTAACCAGTGATGGGATTCAGCCAGTTCACACCACTTCGGCAGAACTGGTAGCTAATTATTTGTTGCCCAGGCCCAGAATGGACTTCTGGAAGTGGCATCCACACAGAGAACCGGTTGTTCACATATTTGAATCCCACCACTGCATGTAATTAATAAAATGGCCATATGAAGCTTGAGTTTCCTTTATATGTACTCCTTATACTGTCCCAAATCAGGCTAGGCCTGCCTGCTCCCTTTATATGGGATCATTTCAAGAACTAAGCCAGCAATTTACTGGCTCTACATTAATAAAACTATTGAATATCAGCTTTAAACTGGTTTCTGGGAGGTTGCAGAGTGGAAACAGACTCAAAACCTCATTGTGTAAGAAACTCTTTCTGTAATACAATGAAATGCAAGCAGTTCCAGAGAGGGCTTTTATTTTAAATCCTGTTTCATAATTAGCCAAAAGTTATGGAGCATCAAGACACAACTCTCTCCCATCTGGAAACCTTCCATATTTTCCCTCACCTTATTTGTTGCCAGCATAAAATGCATAATGGAGGAAAAGATGGAATAGTCACAGGATGTCTTTACATTGGTAATAATGAAAGCTTTCCATTTGAAATCACCTGCAGGGCTGCAAAGGAGAAATCCCATTGAAATGGTCCCTTGCACAAAAAATAAAATCTGTGTAAGACAGAAGTTAGCTGTCAGCCATGCCAGACTTTTTCTCAAGGAGGTGTTTTTTTTCCCCTTTGCATTTCTAACATACAAGCAGAGTTACAATAACTGTATTAACTTTCTGGAATTAAAAGTGGGTTTGTCAGTTCTGCTGTTGCAACATTCTGTGTCTTAATTTCATGCATGCATCAACCGACTTTTACCAACAAGTTATATCCTCACTTATATTGGGACAGCAACTTCCCAAATTTGAAACTGCTATGGCCAAAACACAAGCACATCCTGTATAGCTACATTTTATGCTGATTCTTGGACCGAAGACTTCTCAAAACCATTTCCCTAAGATTATGCAACCAAGGCAGAGAAATTGGGGGGGGGGGAAATAATAGGTATTGTCAAATTGGTGCTTTCTGGATGTTTTAGACTTCACGTTAGTCCTACGTAGCACAGACAATGAGAAAATATTATGGCAGTTGCAGCACGGAAGTCTCTGGAGGATCCAAGGTCTCTGTAGAGGCAGACTTTCTGCCACACTTTTGAAATATTATTGTATTTATTGGCCATGAAGAAAAACATTGGATCATGTTTCTTGAAGGGCAGGAGTTGAATTTGTTTTCTGCATGTTACAGTTTGATTCTCATAAACCCCAACCAGCATGATCAAAGGGGAGGGATGGCATAATTTTGTTGTGCAGTATAGTACACTTTGTACTGTAAATGTATAGAAGGAACATTCTTCTGAGAGAAACTTACACTTATGCTTGGGAATGGGAAGATCAGAAAGAAATGTAGTGTAGGACGTATGGAGAACAGAAAGCCAAAAATATTCTAAATAATAGAGAAAACCAAAGAACACCAAAAATGAATCCATATGTTGATTATAAAAGGGCCTTTGAAGAACAAATCAAGCTTTTGAATGTCTTAAGAAGAATGGGAATCCCAGAACATCTTATTGTCTTGATACAAAACATATATACGGGATAGGAAGTCACAACTCAGACCAAACATGGCAAAAGAGACTGGCTCCAAATTTCCAGTGAGATAAGGCTGTATATTCTTGCTTTATTTATTTGACCTATATGCAGAATATATATTGAGACAGGCTAGATTGGAAGAAAATGTTTTTAAAATTGCAAGAAGAAAATCACTGGAAAATTGATGACAATACTCTGACTGCTGAAAATGTAGATGATCTATAAGTTCCAGTAAGGAAAGTCAAAAGGCACAGTGAAAAAAAAGATTCAAGAAAACCAAACGAATGACAGATTCAGCAACCAATCTAGAACTGACAATGAGGATACTGAAATGGTGGATATTGTCTGTCTTTTAGTGTTGATGATTCACCTTTGAGAATCTTGAAGGAACCAGTTAGAAGCAGATCATCTAACACAGGGGTCCCCAACCCCCGGCACCAGGCCGCGACATACCAGCAACCAGGCTATGCAAACAAGTGAAGCCCCATCCGTTGGATGCAGGCAGCACACAAAACCATGCCCTTCTGGTCCACAGAAAAATCTTTCTCCACGGAACCGGTCCCTGGTGCACCAAAGGTTGGGGGCCTCTGATCTAACAGAAGGCCTAGCTACACGAACTTAATGGCAAATAATTAAAAATCTTGCTGCATAGAATTGTATTTGCCCAACATTGGAAAAATGAAAATTTACCAACTGAAGAAGTATTAAGAAAATTTTAGAATGTGCAGAAATGGACAGATTGACTTTAAAGATAAAAGAGAAAGAAGAGTCAGTGTATTTTAGAACATGGGATAATTTCTATCAATGGCTAGAAACATGAGTTAGAGAGAAAGGAATGTGATATGTAACTTTGAATATATATTAGTAAGAAGAAGACTATTGAGTGATTAATTAACATATTGTTTATGATAATTAACTATTATCTATTATTTTTTGTTAAAAACATGAACCCAGACATTATGCTGTTTGCTAAATATTGAGAATGTTATTTGGAAAAACCCTAACCCCAACCCCAACCCTAATCCTAACCCAAATCCCAACCCCAATCCCGATCCCACCTCATTCCTAACCCTATAAAAACTAATAAGATTTATACAAAAAGAAAATCTTGCTGCATGACCACTTTTGCTTCAGCACATGGGCGCTTATATTCTGCTTCTTCAAGATTGGTAAGTTGTCCAGGTCACATGTAGGCAAGTGTTCTTAAATCATGATACTTCTACCTCCATGTTTGATATTTGGAAGGAGGTTCTTATTATGAATAACGTTTTGGTAAACATATCTGGAAGCTCATTCAAGTGCTTAATGGCACATTTGAGTTAAGCATCAATAGTTTTAGTGAACCATTATTTCCATCTTACTACTTTTTGATGAATTTTAACCCTAGTACTTCCAATAGTGAAACTATGGCAAGACTCAGATGTTCTGAGATTCTCCATAAGGAACATCATTGCCTTTTTCCTGGATGCTTTTTTAAACAATTTCCTAGTTTATCTCCCCAAATTTGGAGCCTTTCTGCAAAGCTTTGATGACTAAACAATGCAGAGCATTAATTATGAAGTTGTTGTTCCTGGTAAGTGAGGGGAGATTGCTGAATTACAAATGGTGGGTTACTGGATATTTACTGAAGTATTGATTTGGCAATTATATTGTTCATTCTGTTAGGTTTACTGGATTGGAATTAAGCCCCTCAGAACCATTATAACTGAAACAGTATACAAAGCTTAGTAATAAATAAATACATCTACATGCTGTGACTTTCTGGTGGTTTCCCATCTAAATATAACCAATCCCAACTCTGATTAGATTATTCATTATCAGCAAGGTTATCTCAGTGCTATCCCCCATGATCTAGCCCTCAATATGTATGGTTTGGGATTGCAAACCAAAAATCAGTGCGTGGGGAATGGAATCGTTAAAACAAATATCTTGGGCTGTATATTAATGATCTGAATATAAAGCCAAGTCGATGGCCAGTAAGAGCTCACTGAGAGGGTAGGTTAGTGAACAGAAGCAACATCTCCTCTGAAAGCACCAGGAAGCCACAGAAAGGAAGGTGAGAGATGGATTTAGCAAGGAGGAATGATGACCCCAGAGTGAAAAGAAGGGCTAGAGGGGAACATGATAGCAGTATTCCAGTATTTGAGAAGCTGCCACAAAGAGGAAGGGGTCAGTTTATTTTCCAAAGCACCTGAAGGCAGGACAAGAAACAATGGATGGAAATTAATCAAGGAGAGAAGCAACCTGGAATTAAGGAGAAACTTCCTAACAGTGAGGATAATTAACCAGTGGAACAGCTTGCCTTCAGACGTTGTGGGTGCTTCATCATTGGAGGTTTTCTAAGAAGAGACTGGACAATCACTTGTCTGAAATGGTATAGGGCAGGGGTAGGCAACCTTGGCTCTTTTATGGCTCGTGGACTTCAACTCCCAGAATTCCTGAGCCAGCATAGCTGGCTCAGGAATTCTGGGAGTTGAAGTCCACGAGCCATAAAAGAGCCAAGGTTGCCTACCCCTGGTATAGGGTCTCCTGCTTGAGCAGGGGTCTGGATTAGAAGACCTCCTTTCCAGATTTATTCTGGATTCTGAATATTTCAGTCTTGAAAGGCCACTGTAAATTCCTCGACAAGAACTGCACAGCCTTAAGAGCAGAGTGGCGGGAAGGATGAGAGAGGGAGGGAGAAATTACAGGCAAGAAACGCAGCTGGGGAGGGGTCACTCTCCGCAAGCAACGAGGAAAGGCACCGTGGCTTGGAGATGACCAGCAAACGGCCCTCGCCCACTTCACACACCCGGCTCGGTGGGCTCCGGGGGGAGGGGACGCCGCCAGCGGCGTGAGAGTCCACGTTACCTGCGCGGCGCCGCCCAGCCCCCAGCCCGCCCGGTTTCGGCAGGCAGCGGCAGGCGCTCTCCTAGCAGCGGGGAGAGGCTGGGCCGGGCCAGGCGAAGCTGGCGAGAAGCCGAACCCGCTTTGCGCTCCTCCCCTGCCCGCGTTCAGCACGGCTGCCGCGGTCATGACCGATAACATCCCCTTGCAGCCGGTCAGGCAGAAGAAGCGGATGGACAACAAGCACCACGGCGGGTAAGTCGGCGCCCTTCCTCCCTCCCTCCGACGTTCTCCCCAGGGCGGGGGCCGGGCCTCCCCTTCCCCATTCAAGCTTCGCCTTTTCCGCGCCAAGGCAGACCCGCTCCCGGAGCAAGCTTCAGCCTTGGCTGCGGGCGCGCCGCCCCGGTTTGATTCCCATTCCCTAATAGAGGCTCTTTCGCTCGCCCACTCCACCCGGAGGTTGCTACTTCTGGGACTGCTTTAGGGGGGGGGGGGGAAACGCCGCTGTTCTGTGCCGGGCCTGCCGATTCGGCTGCAGCAACGGCGACTCCCGAGTTTCCGAACCGGCCAAATTCCAACAACGGAGGGATCTTTTTTCCGTGGCCGATTCCTAAATTGCTCTACAGAAAAAAGCGTCTTCCTTTTCCTGGCAGCCTCGCCCGAGCCTGGACCGTTTCCCCCACCTTTCTTCCTCCCCTGCCTGTTGTAAACACCCGTTTCGGCACCGCCTCGGTGGCCAGAAACGTTCCCCTCGCCTTGGGAAGAGCCCAGTTGGCTTAGAAAGAGCAATAGACCGGGGAAAAGTCTTGTGCGGGTCCCGGAGCCGGAATGGGCAGCAGGAACTGACAGGTTGATTCTGACGCCATTTGTAGGTGGCACGCCCAGGCAGAGGCTGCCATTCCAGTCTCAGCAACCTGGACGAGGAAGGGAAGGAGGGAGAGGAGGAGACGGCTCTAGCCGGCAGTGGCCTTCTCTGGAGCCAAGCTCGGAAGGGAAAAAAAAAGGAAGGAGGCATCTCTTTGTAGATAGTCTCCCTACAACCAGGAGAAAGCAATAGGGAATTGCACCAAATATTGAATTTAGGGTGGGTGGCTCCGCCCCTTTTCGTTATTAGGCAGCTCAGCATGTAAACTTTGGGCTGGTTCTCTTTAATCGTTGGTATAAGTCTAGTCAGCAGGGGTAGGCAACCTTGGCTCTTTTATGACTCGTGGACTTCAACTCCCAGAATTCCTGAGCCAGCACAGCTGGCTCAGGAATTCTGGGAGTTGAAGTCCACGAGTCATAAAAGAGCCAAGGTTGCCTACCCCTGGTCTAGTGTATCTTCTGGAATAATCCTTCCAGAGGTATTCTGCATTAGGCTGAACTTGTTCCATCCAAAATGCTTTCTTTTCCCTCCCAGAAATGTCTTCCTTAGTGGCGGATTTCTAGAAGGTTTACTGTATAAAATTATAATTGTCCATCAGGAACACCTGACCTACAATTTTCTTTTGACCCAGCTACTGGATATTTCGTGCCTTTGAAATTCCTTTTGAAGCTGCAAATGAAAGAGCATGTTTCTTTCCTAGTCAGTTTCTCTGATTTCTTTGTGTAGCAAGCCTGAATTTCAAGTCATTATAACTCTGAGCTTCAAGAATAATGTATACTTCCTGGGAGACGCCTCTTTTGTTTCTAAGTCAGTGTGAACCATTTGTTGTCAAGCACATTTTATGAGCCCATTATTTGCATCATGAGGAAAAGAGAGACCTAGAGAGTGAAATGTAAAACAGAAGAATGTTGAATGCTTCCTACAATCTATAAATGGTAGAACACCAGGTTTCATATGCATAAAAATGTCTATTTCGTTCATTAATGATTCTGCTCCTTATGGAGAAAAAAAGTATTTAAAGCCACGTAACCACTTCTTGCATGGAATTAAAAGATATAAATCATTCACAGTAAACAGGTGTGTTATGTATGTTCAAATATATAGGACTGTATTAAATGCACAATTTATGAGTTGAAAGTTCTAAGCTGTTCAGGTTTTGCACATAAAAAGTATCAACAAGATTCAGTCCAAAAAGCAAAGGGCAAATCTGTGCAAAAGGTAAGGTTTCTTTCAAATCAAGCACAACTCCTGATAGTGGATATTTTATCATCCCTGTATGTTTTTCTTGGCTGGCTTACAAAAGTAGTTTGGCATTGCCTATTGCTGGAATGTATAAATGAGGTAGAAATGTAAAAAGATGTGGCTGCTTCATTTGTGCTTCATTGTCCTCCTGAACATCTTTTTGAAATAAAGTTCAAAGCAATGTACAATTAGAAATTAATACATTCCTGTTTTATTCATTTTTGGACAGGCACGGACAAACTTTATATATTCTTAAAACCTTCCCCTGCCCCACTTCAAATAACCATTGCTGAATGAGGAGTGAGAAATGAAGGGTGGCCCCTACAAGAAATATGTAAATTAGTTTAAGAAATCATTGTGGGAGAAATGATTACCCTCTCCATTCAGAAATACAAGAGTCATTTCTTATATATTGTACATACTGTATATATGCACACATATATAAATACTATAGCTACTTTGATCTAAAAGAGATAAACACCGCTATATCTGGTAGTGATTGGACTCCAATTCTTCTTGCTTCAGTTCTCATAGCCAATGATGAGGAGTGATTTGAGCTGGATTAGCAATGTCTGGAGGATCAGGTTAGCAGATCAGATCACAGATATCACTGATCATCAAGTTAAGTAAGGTAACATTTCAAATAGCAAGTACTATGAAGGAACAATAGCTACATCCTCTTGGCTAATACTCCTAAGCTGCCCTGAGCTTTTATGCTTTATTACAGTGTTTCTCACTCTTTGCAACTACCTTTCTGTGGTTTTTCAATTCCAAGAATTCTTAGCATTGGCCCTATCAACTGGGGAATTCTGGGAATTGAAGTTTACACATCAGAAAGTTACAAGGGTGGGAAATACCGCTCTATTGGATATGTATTAATTGTATGCCATCAGGTCAATTTTGACTTTTTGCAACTAGATATACAGGTAGTCCTCGACTTACAACCACAATGGAGCCCAAAATTTCTGTTGTTAAGTGAGACATTTGTTAAGTGAGTTTTGCCGCATTTTATGACTTTTCTTGCCATAGTTGTTAAGTGAATCACTGCAGTTGGTAAGTTAGAAACCAGTTTGTTAAGTGAATCTGGCTTCCTCATTGACTTTGCTTGTCAGAAGTTCACAGAAAGTGGTCACATGATCTTGGGACACAGCAACGGTCATAATAAATATGCACCAGTTGCCAAGCATCTGAATTTTGATCACATGATTATGGAGATGCTACAAAGGTAACTGGGAAAAACAGTCATAAGTCACTTTTTTCAGTGCTGTTGTAATTTGAAATGGTCACTAAATGAACTGTTGTAAGTCGAGGACTATCTGTATTTTCTCTATCATAGTCTGTCCCTAACCTTGTCCTTCCAACAATGTATCCATCACCACTGTAACCGAATCCATCCCCTTCGTTTGCTGGTAATCCTCTTCTCTTTCTTTCTATCTTCCCAGCATCAGAGCCTTCTTCAGAGAGCTAGATCTTGCATAATAGTCTAGAGTAGCATAATTTGGACCTAGTCATCATGACTTGACTAAGAACTCTGATTTGATTGATGATCCATTTGTTTGTTTGTTGTTTTCTTGTCTGACCATAAGCTCTACTGGAAAACAAAGTTCTATATATGCTATGTAGCCTGTCCTGTGTCCTTGTCTCCCACCCCTACTTGTAGAAGCATCTCTTTCTCACAGATGCTTTGTGTGGCCAGTAGTGAAATGAGTTCAGTTGAAAGACCATCTGGCTACCTTAGAAGATGAATGGGAGTCAATGCCATCTTGTTGTCCTTTGCTCCAGGATGCAAAGTTTCTTGGGGATTTCCCTTCAAAGGCTGACTCATAAACCATTGCAGCAGCAGGCACTGCAGTTTCCTGAATACCTAAAAGACTAAAGAGCACATTGAAGTGTAGCAAACATATTACAGCTAATAGCTGATCACAAGGATGGATATTTTATTAGGGATATGATAATATCAAGCATTAGAAAATAACATAACTGAGTGAAGTGGATCCATCTGGTGGGTCTGTTGACATGAAAAGCAGACCTCGTGGTTGTGAAATGTGTAGGTCAATTAGCACTCGGTTGCTGCAGTTCTTCTCTTTCTGAAGATTATACAATTTCCACTGGAGTTTTCACAACCTCAGTTGTGTATCTTGCCTTGTTAGCAGTGCATGCAGTGTAATTATATCGATGTAACCTTAGCTCCAATGCTCTGTTAGTTACAGGCTGCAGAGTCTGGTTGTTCCAGCTGGGCTACGGAAGTGATCTTTCCTGTAACCATCAAGAGCTGTTGACAGCACAGAACTGGGTTGCTACATTAATGTAGAATTATTTTTTTTCTCAACTGTCTACCTTCCTTGCCTCTAGGGATTTTTTTGTATTAGCTACCGTAGTTGGATTTCAGAAGACCAGCTTAACTTTTCATTATTCCATTTTATTTCCAGTAAAGATGAAAACATCTGACTGGTAAGCAGCATTAGTTTGATAACACTTTGGTGAACTGAAAAAGCATCAAAGTAGACAACTAAGCTAGTTGTTATTTCTAATACTTAGTAAAAAAAATTTAATTTAAATTTAAAAAAAAATTTAATTTTAAATTTGAGTAATTACAAAGGGCACATACACCATTAGAGGAGGCACCTCCATCTATGTTTGAAGGATAGGAAAGGCTTCTTATAAGACAATACTTATAGTATCTTTGACCCATAAATGTATAATTCCCAGTTATGACTTGATCATTCCTCCTCCTTGTTCCATCAAGCAATCTCAAAAATATTGATCCAGTCTAAAATGTTGGCCTGAATCCAGCCCTCCTAATGTGTTTTCTAATATATTCATCTATTATAAATTGCTAAAACCTTGTCATTTGTGGAACGGAGAAAGTGTATGCTTTTCATTTGAAAAAAAAATATCAGCGGTTACACTAGCATTACTTATCAAGTTTGATAGTATCAGTTCAGATATGCTAATTCTCCTATTTGTCTACCGTATGGTAACCTTAATTTTACTGGTATGTGGTTTGTCACACAGTCAGCTGATGTTTAGACTGGATTTGGCAATTTTAATAATAATAATAATAATAAAGTTGGAAGGGACATTGGAGGTCATTGAGTCCAACCCCCTGCTCAGGCAGGAACCCTACACCATTTCAGACAAATGGCTG